GTCAGGTCGACAGCTGGTTGTGCCTGCGAAGCAAATAGCTGGTTAAATTTCAAAGGCTCTTACCATACGTAAAATGATCGTCCATTTGTGGAGCCGTTACAAATCTGAAACAAGGAAAAGGTAGAATAAAAATAAAAAGTGAACTTTTAAAAATCGTGGATTTTTCGCGACACCCTGCTCCTGTCTGGCCACGTTGTTTGCAGACAGAACCTTGTGCGCACGCGTTTTCAGATACTCGTGCGAATAGTAATGTAGATTTAAATCGAACGACGCTTGAAGCCCGCGAATAGATTTCTGCTCGAGTCGACAAGTCAGACCGGAAGGGTGGCCGAGGGGTCCCCCACTTCCAAAATAAGTGTACAAGTTGTCGCAAGTTAAGGTCGAGAAGGAATCATTTTTGAGTTTTGCGCAGTCTCCCCAAATTTTGGCGAGCTATCGCGAGTTTGGCGCGAGTTCGACGCTAGTTGGGCGTGAGCAAGTGTAACGAGTTGCCTAGGAGGGGACCCCTCGGGGGTGAGGGTCCTGGGACATTGTTTACCAGTTGGCGTGGTACTTTTGTGCTCATATGACTCGATATGACTACTTACGCCTTGTCCTTGTCCTATTGCGACTTCAAATTCTCCGCGTGTGAACAACAGGGATAATCCAGAAGGAACAAATATCTTTCGCCGATAAGAAATCGCAGAAGTCACCCTTCGAAAGCTCTCATAGCGCCTAATGGGTAGGCAATATCTTGCCTACAGTGCATGCGTGTACCGCGGTGTGGCCTACCCCGAGTCTTGCAGGCGCCGAGCTTCCGTTATTTCCGAATCAAGCTGAGGAAAGCAGACGCACTTTCTGGATGATCCCGGAAGCAGTGTAGTACTCTTTGAATTATGTAACATTTTTTACCAGGTGGCTCTTTAACGCCGCGTCCTTCTGTAGTGATACCTGGTGGCTCACAGGACGGACGGGCCGGGGTGGGGGGCGGTATCACCACAGGTCGTGTTAAGGGGGCACGATGGAGTGAGCACGGCGAGGGCGTCATGCGGCCCATGGCCGCGACCACCACCTGCGCCCTCCGCCCTCGTGGACTCGGACACACACCTTAACTTCCTCGCCGCGCAGCCTGCGAGCCACCCCCCCCCCCCCCTCCTCCGGTCAGACAGGCGGTGGTGAGGAGCACGAAAGTAAGTGCGCATGTGTATGCAACCCACAGGGTATCCCGTCCGTTAGGCGAACGTAAAGCTGACACGCAATTCACCGGACGAACAAGCAAGGCCTTTTCAACGGAGCTGGAAAAGGAAGTAATTTTCTTAAGTGAGAAGAATACTGCCTTTCCCAGCTCCATTGAAATGCCCTACATTGCAACAGGTTCGGTTTGAGGCAAAGAGTGGTCCAATAAATGTTAGATTCAGCGAAAATATGAGCCTGCATCATCTTTAGGAGTTGCTGCCCTGGTCTCCCTGTCTACGTTGGTGTACAAACATAACACAATGATTAAGTCTTAATTCAACGATTATAATGACTTAACTATAGTCGTAAACCTGGGTAAAAGCAAAAGTAATGCCATGGTTCTAGATGCGTGCCCGCTTTAAACTGTATGAACTCTGGACGAAGCAAAAACCGCACGAACCTAACCTCTGCCGCTCATGTGTTAAGCGGTGGCGGTACGTCACGCCACTTCCTCTTATTTGATTGAACACCATTCCCATAGCTCATTTACCGAATGGCTCGCCCCAGAGGTTTTGAGGACTGCGATTCGCTGAAATCCTCTGAGGCGATGGCGAGCTGCCTCAGCTGGGGCTGGGGTGGGCCATAACCAAACTTTGGTCGCCGGGTGTGGGGGATTCATCATCTCGGACTTGGTGGCGCATTAGAAAGGCCATCAAATTGCCTATCAAATAAACTACCATTGGGCAAAACCCGAGACAGGGAACCCTTCGCACCTTCCACAAGTTCGGTGATAAGGGTCGCCTCACCGTAGCGTACGCTGAATGCACCGTTAGAGATATGATTACACCCCCCTTGAATGTGCAATAGTGATGACGGTGGAGGTTGCCAATGAGGTTTTAGGTTTGCGAAGCATGCGAAACCTTCGACTTGTATTGTGACTTACAGAGTTGGCGACTGTTCTGCTGAGAAACTGCGGTACGGTGGCGGACACCGACACACTACACAGCACACGGCGCGGCACTCCTGCCTCGCGTTCGCAGCGGCAGCATGAGAGAAGGGCGCCCTGGAGAAGAAGCTTTACAGCCCCTGGACCCCGCTTTTGG